ATAATACGAGAAAATATAAACGCGAAAGAACAAGACAACAGATTTACGTGGTTCACCAATAAATTGGCTACGTCCACGGGAAGAGGGGGAGCAGTTTTATTATGGAAAGGCAAAAAACAGAATTACAGAATAGGGTTTGCCATAGCGTATATATATAGTGCTAAGCTACACCCTAATAGGCTTGGGCCCAACATACAGAATTGACAGATTATTAAGGGCCCAATACAACAACATTGTATACCTCGGGTCGGGGGCGTCTCCGCCCCCCCCGGACCCCCAGGCCAGGGGGCGCGTCGCCCCTCTGGACCCCCCGACTCACTGACGGGCAGCGAGACCCCCGTCCTTTCTGTTGTAACGGGTCTGATTCAAGGCATTCAACAAATCTCCACCTTGACTTGAATTCTACAAACAAATTCTTCAGACGCATTATGATAGTGTCAGGCCTCCCCCTCTTTCTCAGAATTGCCCCTTAGGGAAATTAACAGCTTCTGATGTTGAGCAAGTCCAAATAGTGTTGAAACTTGCTCTGTGGAACCGGCTTAGTGAACATATCAGCAGGATTATCAGCAGTTCCTACTTTCTTAACCTTGATTCTCTTCTCACTTCTCAAAAAATGATACCTTACGTCAATATGCTTGGTTCTCTCATGATGGACTTGATCCTTGGCTAGAAAAATTGCGCTCAACCTCTCACAATACACCGTAGCCTGATCATGATGCAGACCAAGATCACTAACCAACCCTTTCAGCCAAATCCCTTCTTTTGCAGCCTCTGTCAAGGCCATGTACTCCGCTTCTGTAGTAGACAAAGTCACTGTTGATTGCAAAGTTGCCTTCCAACTCACGACAGATCCTCCAAGGGTAAACACATAGCCAATCATCGATCTTCTTGTGTCAACATCTCCAGCATAGTAAGAATCAGATGATTAAGGGCCCAATACAACAACATTGTATACCGTCGGGCCGGGGGCGTCTCCGCCCCCCTGGACCCCCAGGCCAAGGGGCGCGTCGCCCCCTGGACCCCCCGACTCACTGACCGGTCAGCGAGACCCCCGTCCTTTCTGTTGTAACGGGTCCGATTCAAGGCATTCAAATCTTTGAAAAATGTTTTAAGAGGAAAGATCGGAAAGAAATTTAGTAAAAAAGAGCTTTGTGAAGTCGGCAGACATATCCTGAATTGTTTGGATTTTCTCTGACATTTCAAGATTGGTTTTATGAATGTTGTGCGCAATCAAATGAACAATTGTTATTATAATTGGAAAAAGGAGTCCACAAATTCTAAGTTGGAAAGTGTTAACTAGCACAAATTCAGTCAAGGTTACAGAGATGCTCTTTGCCACAAAGGTAATTTTTTTGTACTTCATAAACTACAATTATTAGTAATTATTATATGTTTAATTTGTATTGTTGTTAAATTACAATGTAGTTGAAAGTGAGGAATATTACATTAACTCCATTTGAGAAGTTTATGGTGAATTTGAATGATTTATTCAAGGATGTTGTGGTGAACAATGAATCAAATAGAGTCAAAGTTGTAAGTCTATTATTTGATGACGACTTTACTACAATACCTCCTGTCTCAAGCAAAACAAAAAACAAACTTGAATATGTACCTTCTATTAAAAATATGCATTTGATTGATGAGATAAGATGCATATCTGATGGGCAGGAAGAGTTAAGGGACGTATGTTAATTATTCCTTTTTTTAATTATTAATATACTATATTCGGAGAAGTATTTTGATTATGTTATTTATTGATTAGGTAAAACAAAAAGCTCATAGTTTTGAAGAAACTCATGATATAATCTGATTCAAAAATTCTAACGCAATTAAAGCTTTAAGCAAGAAAGTTGAAAGAGATAATGATTATAAGGTATTCAATTAATATCTAGTTTTTCGTAGATCAATATATTTTTGTGTCTATGTGTATCTTATTTATTACTTATGTATCTTTATTTAACATCAACATGAAGAATTTAGAGGCAGAGGCATGAATGTTGATTTTGACGATGACTATTATAAAAATAATGTCAATTATGACCAACATATCACTCTTCACTTAGACAATATTCAAACCATCAATGAAGATTTCAACAATGAAGCTAAAATTGGTATGTTAAATCTGCGTCCGAAACTTACAGGGTACAAAATATTAACAAAAGTTCCAAAACGTTATATAAAATCTTATATTAACCAAAACGGTTAAATCACTGCAGGTGCAGCGATTTACCTCACCTGAAAAAGTAAAATCGCTGCTGAGGCAGTGATTTTGCAAAAAAAAAGAATTTAATAAAAAATTGAAATCGCTGCCTAAGGCAGTGATTTATTAAAAAAAATTATAAAATAAATCGCTGCCAGGGCAGCGATTTATAAAAAAAAATTATAAATCGCTGCACTGGCAGCGATTTATACTATAAATTTTTTTTATTTTTTATAAATTGTTGCACTGGCAGCGATTTATATTATAATTTTTTTATTTTTTATAAATCGCTGAACTGGCAGCGATATACCTTATTTTTAAAAAAATATAATTAAAAAATAATATGAAATCGCTTCCAAGGTGAGGTAAGTCGCTGCACCTGCAGTGATTTTACCGTTTTGGTTAATATAAAATTTTATATACCGTTTTGAAATTTTTGTTAATATTTTGTACCCTTTTAAGTTTCAGACTCTATTAAATCTTATACCAAGTATAAGTAATGTTATTAATAGTAGCTTATCCCAGGTAAATGAGTTGTACTTTTATTTGAATATGATGAATTCTTTATACCAATAAGATATCTATAGTACGTATTTTTTTCACTTTAATATTGTATCCTTTATAAATGATCTTATAATAGGCAACTACTAACCATATTGTAAAATTATACATGTATTATTCGTTATACATTTTAGTTAGCTGTTATCATCATATTATATTGATGTCCCAGAGTCTCAGATTCATCCATTTACATGTCGAGTGGCACGTAAACAGATTGATAAGTCTTGTTATCCAGAGGTAGAAAATATTATGAAAGGATATCCACACGAAATAGGCGTCCTGTTCCATTACACTAATCTCCATATCTGAATAATTATATATCAGGTCATGAAAATATGAATGGAAGAGCCTCTTCCAAGAATATTGTAACGTGGGTTCATCCTTTCAAAAGTTTTACTATGGATAATAATTGCTTCAAGGAAATGGGTGAATTTAGAGAATGGGTGAATGAAGGTCACAGACCACGCAACAAGTTAGTATTCCATTATATTTACATGTGTTTATGTTGTTAAATACTATAATGTGTTTTAACATACAATTTTATAATTATAGGAAGTATCCTTAATAGTAAAAAGGATAATACTCTCAATCCTCCATTTGAATTTGGAAAGACGACTATCAACAAGAAAGATTGGTTTCACAAATTTGTGTTTGGTGGTCAATCTTTGAAAAGTTCGAAATGTAAATATGAAATTATTGTGCATAGTTAGTTTTAAAAAAATGAGGTCTTTATGTGATTGATTATTTGGTTATGAACTATGTACTGATATTTGGAATTTCATGACAACATTTGGATGTTATCCTCTATTATCTAAGAAAGAAAGAAAGAAAGAAATGGATGATGATGTTCCAGTGCAGTTCACTACAACTGATTATCTATTTGATCTCAAGATACAACCTATTTATAAGAAATTTATTGAAAATAATGGAGATAGTGATGTGGTGAAGCCGGAACATGATATAGCCAAGTACATACTTGGTGGATTTGTGTTTTCTAATATGTAGTGGCATACTGTTGATCACATATTGTATCATCTTTGTGTTGATGAACAATGGAAGATGCTAAGATTATCTTTTAAAGATAGATTGTTATATGTGTATGATTTGATGAGTGATGATGCTTTCAAAGCCAATATTCGCAGTTCTATTGATGTATATAGATTCATTATTCCACTCTTCTTTTTTATTTTGAATTTTATTGGGAAAGGAATGATATTCAATTGAACAATTGACCATATAAGAATAAGGCATTGGTTGATCCTTGTAATGTTAAGATGATTAAAGATTTGTCGTCACAACAAGTTGTGTAAGTGCCTTTTATTTCTAAATTACTAAAATACACATGGATAAGCTCTTTTAAATTATTAATCTTTGATGTTATTTGTTTTTTCTTTTATTTCAGGGATCGTGAAATTTATGTTACATTGTTTGCGAAAAGAATCATACGTGATAGCAATGTGGTTGACCATGAATGGGATGGCAATACACATCACATCAAGTTTGACTCATTGTTGTGGAAGTATGGCAAGATGAAACTTGAGAAACATATTACAAACAATGAATCTGAATCATCATGAATAATGAAAATAACGGATCGTGTGAAGCATTATAATAATTATCTTATGTCTTATCAAATTAAGAGAAATAGGAATTTATGACTTGTCCATTGTGTGTGTTTGATTCACTATTCTTTCCTAGTTAAGTTGGTATTCTGAAATAAGTTTTGAAATAGTACAGTTCTTTGTCTATTTTAATTAAGTGATGAACTTATATATATTATTCCTACCCTGCAGCTTCTGGTGTAATATGCTTCTTAGTACCAATTTTGTCATTTGATGGAGTTTGTACCTTAACTGTAGGGTTGCCATAATTGCTACATATATCTATGTTCAAACCTCAAGCAAACGTATCTTCTATGTGCAAATATCATTCTAGTTCCTCTGTTTGTATCACCAATCTTAAACATATGAAATAAATTACCATATTGTTGTCATTATTAAGATTTGAACGTTAGTTTCCAAGGTTTGCAACAATGCCCTTTGGCTCGAATGATTATGTTTCTATGTAGGCTTTGAAGGGGAGGATAATAAGTGAGTTGAGTTAGCAACAAAATTTTGTCTTGTTTTAGCATAAGATGATAAGAGAGCATAGAGGAAACAGAGAAGTGCACGATGATCTAGCCTATGTAAGCGCAATGTGCGAGGCTAGTTTAAAGCGACTTGATATTAACTGTATAGACTTGTACTATCGAAATGTCTTTTCACTCTTAAATTGAAATTTGATTCACAAATTCTTCAAATAGTATATTGCAACAGCTAACATCATCATGCATATTTAGTATGAGTTATTCGATAAAATAATAATAAAATTATACCAGATTGTCTTTGCAATGTACTTAATATAGCCTTCACGCTATAGTTTGCAAAACTATCATCACCCTCATTTGAATTTACATGAGCGTTTTATCAATTCCTCGCACGGTCATATTATAGACAAACATAAAGCAGGAGCACTCTAATCAGTATAGGACTTATTTGTTTCAAGGCTTTCAAAATTAACTTCCTCAATCTACTATTAGAAAGTTTGTATTAAAAGTTTTGTTCAACATCTTGTCTGCACCCATCTAAATATGAGATTTACATGATGTATCTGTCACGCCCCGAGCCTGCACCCCCAAAAAGTGGCTAGCACTCGAAGACCATTGTTGGTCCCAAGTGAACCTCTGTCCTGGCTTACTTACTCAGCAGAAGACTTAAACATAAGAAGTATAACTCAAAGATATATAAGTACTTAGCCCAAATGGTAACTCAATTCTTAAAAAAATATTTGAAGTAATAATGTAAAGACAACTGAACTACTAACTCTATATGAAGCCTCTAAAAACAGTTGAGATGGATGTTGGGACGGACCCCACAACATCATAATTAAAAAGAAATACTTAAAGAAATAAAAGGAGTCCTCCAAATTTCAAGGAGGCTCACCAACTGCCTCTGAAGTGGTCAACTGGATCAACAATGTGCTGGATGATGATCCTCGTTACCTGCGTCTACATCATAATATGATGCAGGCCAACTAGCATCAGTACATTGAATGTACGAGTATGCAAGTTGAAATTCTAAACAACATAGGCTTCAAAGAGATTTTGAGCGAAACACTTACCTTGGCTCTTCTCAAATCATAAACACTTAATTGAACTCATTTCAATATAAAGTAGTTTGAAACAAGTGCAATATAAAGAAAAGTTGTTTAAAAACATGTTGTAAACTCTCTATGTATACATAGATACAATTAACTCTAACATGTATGTAAAAATACAAATAAATTGATGTATATAAAAACACAATAACTTCTGTGGGAGATTCTCTAACCGACAACCATCACTTAAGAGATAAAGTGATGATACGACAATCTACCTCACGCTTCTAGCGCATTCTATACCCGACCAAAGGTATAAAACCTGAACTGCCTAATGGATTCACTAGTCTATTTTAAAAAGGATTCATCTTAAAAGTATGATCTTTTTCTACTCATGTTGGCTTCATGGTTTATGGGGTTGTGGGTTGTCTAAACTCTCCCCCAATTTGGTGCCCAATACTACTCCCACAATATACTAACTCTTATGTTTTTTTAAAAACACATACTTCTTTTGTGATTTGATATTAAAGATCAAAACTTAGCTTAAAGGCTATCTTGAAAATCTCAGTTTCCCTGTCTGCTTCATTTAGAAAGATATTACTGTTTTCTAAAAACTAGCCCGAAAGCTTTTTGGAAATCTCAGTTTCCATTCTTGTTTAAATGTGAAACATTTCTTTTAAACCTGTTTGGGAATATATAGTTCCCATATACTTCTTTGAAGAAATTACTTCAATTTTACTCTTTACTGAACTTAACTCTTAAGTCTTGAAACAAAGTTAAAATATTTGTAAAAAGACTCTTGAAAACTTTAATGAACTTTACTTTACTTGACTCTCTACTTTGATATTGTCTCTTACTTTGAATGTGACTCTTACTCACTCCTTGAATTGAATTATGAATTCAAGGAATATGATTTATATTTGGAAGGACCTCTTGATGTTTAGGAATGATTTCGAAAAGCTAAACTTAAGAAAAGATATGAAATCAACATCATGGAGCAAGTATGCGACGCGGCGATACTCCCAGAAGATATTCGCAAAATTTGATTTTAAGTCGCAGAGCTGATTTTTGTAAGTTGTCCGACTTTTTCCTTCTTTGTTTCCAATTCACCTAAACTCGAATATATTCCTCAAATTCATTTTTGATCCCGATACCCAACATTAGTACTCACGAATCTAACTCAAAGAAACTCTAAACTTCAACTTAAAGGTCTCAAAAACTCCAATGATCAACTCAATTCAAGAACACACTTACATTCAAGAATAGAGATCAAGAACATCAACTTTCAACAATTTTTAGGATGAATTTCACTGGATTAAACATGTTTGGTGCGTGGGTCAACGAACCCAATCGCTACGAGAGACTCACATACCTTTTTAGGGATCAAACACACACACACACCCCCCCCCCCCGAAGAAATCCCAATCAACGATCGTTTTCTTGGAATTCTTGTTTCACCTCTTTTTCTCCTCTTGCATTCTTTCTTCAAAAACCCTAACGTGAATTCTCAACTTTATAAACTGAACCAAGTCTGGTTTTTTACCCCAATTAATCCCTTAAAACGAATTAATTCAATTAGGTATAGATAAGACAATCTTGTCTATCCCAAATCCGAATTGGACTTTTCTTAATCCAACAGCCCAATTTCCGAAAGGCATAACTCATTCATACAGACTCGAAATTGCCGGAACTTAGTAGCGTCGGAAAGATCGTTGCAAGGCGTTGCCAATAATATATGGATTACATCTAAATCCTCATGAGCTAGGAGTTATGATCATCTGAAGTTGACCAAAACTCAACTTTAACTTACTACCAATTTTCCAGATTTCTGAAAATGTAATTTTCAAATTTCTTTAGCTCATTCTTAGCTATTTAAAGTTGCAAGATGTTACAATATCTATCCCTTGGGAAAATTTGTCCTCGAATAAGACTACTCTTACTAGGCTAAGGGTGGTAACATCTAGTTCAAACACCCAACAAGCAAATGCAGCAAATAACATGCTTATTCATAATTTAAAGAGTACTAAGAAGAGAATTAGTACCTTGATTGCATCTTCTCCAGATTCAAAAGGATGTAAATATCTCTTCTTCATATCCTCTTCTGATTCCCAAGTAGCTTCCTCAACAAATTGGTTCCTCCAAAGAACTTTGACTGAAGATACTTCTTTAGTCCTCAATTTACGAACTTGGTGATCTAGAATCTGAATTTCAATCTCCTCATAAGATAGGCTATCCTTGATCCTGATACTCTCAGTTGGTGTGATCAATGATGGATCGCTCATTCACTTTTTCAACATAGAGATGTGAAGCATCGGATGAATTATTGCTAACTCTTGAGGCAGCTCTAACTCATAAGCTACATTGTCAATCCTCTTGGCTATGCGATACGGTTCAATTTATCGAGGACTAAGTTTTCCCTTCTTACCAAACCTCATCACCCCTTTCATGGGTGAAACCTTCAAATACACTCAATCATCTACCTCAAACTCTAACGACCTTCTCCTAACTTATAAAAATATTTTTTGTTATTATTTCATGGTGAATTGATATTACTAGATGATAAGAATTTTAAAAACATTGTCTTAACCTTGAACTTTAACACATAATAGTTATTCTATTATTGATGGTTTAGATTTATTTTTTAATTGAAAGTGTTAAGAGAAATAATACATGTATCCAATGATCTAATGAAATTACACAATCAGATAAAAGACTTAATTTTTTTCCAAATACGCATATTGCTTATGGAATAATGTTAAAAGATTCTCTAACCGTTGTCTCGGTCGAAAGAAATTTTTCAAAATTAAATTGATTAATCTTATTTAGATCAACGATGCCTCAAGAGAGATTGAATGAATTATCTATATTATCAATTGAAAGGAATTATTAAAACAAATTGATTATAAAACAGTAACTAATGATTTCGCATCTAAAAAAACTAGAAAAGTAAATTTTAAACAAAATTATATATGATGAAAAATAAAATATTAGGGGTCCCTCCCTCAAATTTTGCTTCAGGCCCCCAATCTTGTTGAGTCAACCCTGCTTACTAGCGATCAACCGTTCATTATTATTAATAGGGAAAATGCACAAGTACCCCCTCAACTTATGCCCGAAATCCCAGAGACACACTTATACTATACTAAGGTCCTATTACCCCCCTGAACTTATTTTATAAGTAATTTTCTACTCCTTTTAGGCCTACGTGGCACTAGTTTGAAAGAAAAAGTCAACCAATGTTGGGCCCACAAGATAGTGCCACGTAAGGTGAAAAGGGGTAGAATATTATTAATAAAATAAGTTCAGGGGGGTAATAGGACCTTTGTATAGTATAAGTGTGTCTCTGAAATTTTGGGCATATGTTGAGGGGGTACTTGTGCATTATCCCTTATTAATATGATCCATTGTTTTGACCTTCATTTTGTTGTTGAATATCATTTTCCTGTTTGATATACTTTATTTTTCAATCATCCACCTAAGAAAATATGAAATACGATTTCTGTTATTTTGTGGATGATTGGACAAAATATAACCATTAAATTTTCAAATTAAAGTTTTCTTATTGATAACTATTTATAGATAATAAGATATTCAAGTAATGCAAAATAAATTATTTTTTTAGATAACATTTATGTATTTTTTGACAAAATAAAA